GATCACACACTTACCATTTTCACCTGGTAGGTGGTAGAATCCCCAGACTTGAACTGAAGGAGGTGCATATGTAAAGAAAGTTGGGACTGAGCTCTTGGCTAGCAGACACACAGCAATATGTTGAAACATCTTTTTAAAACTGCAGTAGATCTGGTACAGATTGAAACTGGTTTAGTGACATCAGAAAACTGCAATGCACACTTAAAAATAAAGGTTCTTTATTGGCATTGATGGTTACATGTAGAGCCTTTACCATGGAACCTTTCCATTCCACAAAAGGTTCTTTTATAGTGGAATAGTGGTTATATAGTGGTTCTTTAAATTAAATAAAATTAAATTACACATTATTAAAATGTTTTTCACACTTAGAATATTTTAAGAACTGTAAACTGAAAGGTTCTTTGGGGAACTAAAAATGTTTCTTCTATGGCATCGCTGCAAAAACCTCCTTTTGGAACCTATATTTTCAAGAATGTAGATCTACTTTACAAGATTTTAAATCCCAGTGAAAGCGTTATTTTTAGACAGCCACGCACCAGGGATGTTCAGCAAAGGCTGCATTTTCTCTTTTGTTTGACCTCAGTGCTATCTTATCACTGGTTTTATTGTTTCTATTTCCTTTGGTTGCTGTGTAGTGCATCCTACAGGAAAACCCTAGCAGAAGTTTAGAAAACACACAATGAAAGGTCAAAATTACCATAAGCTCCCTGTCATGGGGGCAAACTTTTGGCAGGATATTAGTTAATTTAAATATATTTACAAAATCTATAACACAAAACAGCAAATAGTGATGAATTTTCATGTTCTTTCTACATCAACTCCATGCAGAGACACAAAACTCAAAATCTAATGTAGCTAATCGAAGCTAAACCTTCTCAGGGGAGCTAAGTGAAGATGTACTCTATGAACAGCTTTGTCACAGTTGCTGAAAGAAGCAAATTATGTCATTTATTTCCCTTAAGATACTGCAATTATAGTCTAACAGAAGAACTAACATTTTTAGCTCAAGCTTTAGAACTGAGACAAGCATCAGTTCATTTTTCATTAGATAACATTACCAGAGAAAAATATTTTCAGAGGAAAAAAATGTTTTTAGTCATTTTCTCAATTGGTTTTTAGTGTTTTGTATTTTTTCTTGTATAATGGCCTACTGATTTTTTGTTTTGTTTTGTTTCCAGTAGCTTAATAAATCACATGAAACACTCAGTTGCAAATAATGGCATACAATACTATTTGCACAACAATATATAAGCCTCCAAATGAAGATAATTAAACAAAACTTGTTGCAGAAGCATAATGAACTGAGTAAAAACAAGTGATGGAATTTTAGATGGAATTTTTTTTTTTTTTTTTACTAAACATATTTTTCAACAGAGTTTTTCAATCTGTCCAAGATCGACAATGTGGTTTGAAGTATCTTTTATGCTTTATGCAAGACTCATCTCAGTACCCATTCACTTGAACCATCTCCTTTCACAACATGAAATGAGAGAGAGTAAATGATGACCGAATGGTTGAAAATTTTCAAAGTGGTTGAAGTACATATAATTTTGATATGTAAACATCTTTGGATGTTGTCAAATCTTGCATGATGGTTTCTGCATTTTAAGATGTCATGTTAAAGGGATAGTTCATCCAAAAATGAAAATTAGCCCATTATTTGCTCACCCTCAAGCCATCCTAGGCGTATATGACTTCCTTCTTTCAGATGAATCCAATCGGAGTTATATTAAAAATTGACTTTGATCTTCCAGGCTGTTTAATGGCAGTCAGCGGGTGTTGCAGTTCATCAGTGCAAAAGAAGTGAAATAAAGCGCATCCATCCATAATAAAAAGTGCATCACATGGCTCCGGGGGGTGAACAAAGGCCTCTGGTAGCGAATCGATGCGTTTTTGTAAGAAAAATATCCATATTCAAAACGTAATAATCACTTTAATCTAGCTTGCGCCAACAGTTGTACACGGAAGCATGACGTAAGATGTCGGCATTGCGGATGCGCCGGTGAGTCTCGTGAAAACCAACGTTTGATTATAGGAGCAAAGGAAGCAAAGTTTCCTTATTTTAGCAAAGGAAAACCAGTCTCCTCTTGGCTTATATCGAAATCCTCCGACATTCTTCTTTACAAATCCTGGTTTTGTACTTCTAATTAGTGACCGTTGTTTTGTTTTGATCTTTTCCCTGCGCTTCCGCGTTCGTCACTTCTGAGCTTTTCTGAACTCCGACGTCTTGCGTCATTCGCCCGGAGCTGCTTCAAGTTTTAAAAATGGTTATTTTTCTTACAAAAACGCATCGATTCGCTACAGGAGGACTTTGTTCACCCCCCGGAGCCGTGTGAGGCACTTTTTATTATGGATGGATGAGCTTTATTTCACTTCTTTTGCACTGATGAACTGCAACACCCGCTGACTGCCATTAAACAGCTTAGAAGATCAAAGACAATTTTTTATATAACTCCGACTGGATTCGTCTGAAAGAAGAAAGTCATATACACCTAGGATGCCTTGAGGGTGAGTAATTCATGGGCTAATTTTCATTTTTGGGTGAACTAACCCTTTAGGTTTAAAGTTGAAAAGAGTGGTTTGACAATCCTGCTTTCTGTTCCATTCCATTGCACCATGTAATTGTTTTTGAATGCAAGAACGTATCCTGTGTGAACAGCTCTCATTCTGTGCTTCCTGCTCCATGTCTGTGACTGACTGCAGATTTTTGGAAACATGCTTTGCATTTATGTGGTAGGCTTGTATTGCTCCAATGGCAGGAATATTATTGTGCTGAATAAATGTTAAAATGAGAGATGCAAATACAAATACCATATTTACACTTCTTTGGGGCGTGTTGACCTAAATGTCTTTGTTAAATGACACATTCACTCCAGTTTAGAATGAAAAAAGGGTACATTATGCACAGACTTTGTCTGAAGCGCTCCATATGTTCTATACAAGTTGCCTTTTAAAGCCTTAAGTATTGATTTGATCTGTTGTTTGGTTATATAACCATGTTACATAGCAGATGGAAAACAGCTCTGAGTTGCAGCTCACTCAGTTTTTGTTATGTAATTTACGGCCATTATAAATACATTTTCATCTCTTTACACAGAATGATGTAATGGTATTCATAATCGCACACACAGATATCATCACAAGTGGTATTTTACCAGATGATTGCTGTCATTTGTATCTATTTATGATGTGCAAGAATGCATGTCCTCTTGAGGGCACAAGCCAGCCTGTTAAGTGCCTGCAATACTTTCTGTCTTATTGTATCATTCTCTGTTCACTTCTTCTCGTTTGACAGCAGCCGCCTCATCCTATTAACAATGCTGTTTGTTTAGGGTTGAAAAAAAGTGCTTGTATTTCCCCTGGATTCTTATCCGCTGAAAAACACACACCCTTCCCCATATGAAGGGGAGTATCAAAGAGAGACTATATTGTAACAAATGCTACCAACATATTAGGCAAACCAACAGGGTTCCAGAGGAGGAGGTGGAGGAAGTCACCCCACTCCATTCTTCTGCTGCCTATATTTGTTTCTTTGCTTGCTTTCAGTTTATTTGCTTTCTAAATCCAAGGATGAACAGCTTTAAGTCAGTTGTCATAATGTACGTTCCAGATGCTCAAAAGACCTTTTCTAGATCTCTAGCTTATTAATTTTGGCAAGATGTGTGGTTATGAAGGCGTGAACTAACAATGCGTCATCTTTTATAGCTAAGAATGGAATAGAGATGGCAAAATGCATTATATGTTATTTTTGTGGTTATATAGTGCTTTGATGAAAGTGTTTACCCACTTTTATTAGAATGGTGCAGTGGCATAATTTGGTACACTCCAATTATCAAATATCTTGTTTTCCTTTAAAACCTCAGTATTGTTAGACAAAGAAAGCTGTGTCTTTATTTTCTCCTGTTTTAGTTTAGAAACTGAGTCAGGGCAGATTTCTGTTTGTTTGTGTCTATTTTGAAATCAGGTTGGGTAATTTTTCCTCTCCCCTTTAGGTAGATGATGTTATGTTTGTAACATTGGCCGTTCCCTCTCCTGAAGTCTTGTTTTTGGTTCTTTAATTCAGTTTTCATTAGTTACTAAATATTATTTGACTTGGAAAAGCTGACTGTTGTGGGACTGGGAGAAGGAAACTCCACAATAATTTATTACTCCTCAACTGTAGACTATAGGGAGTAATGGCCTAACTCTCCAATGGGCTGCTTGTTTTTTATTATTTGATTTTATACAAGATTTGCTGCTTGTAATTTATGGCTTTAACAGCTCAAAATTCTTACGTTTTCTGTCTCACATTCGCATTGGCCCCTCTTTTCTACCAGCAAAACACATTTACTGTACAGTAGTTATGCTGGCAAATACTGAAAGCTTGCAGTTGGAAGCCTGGGTTTTATTTAGCTCATGTCCAAGACATGTTCCTAACTAACCAACTTGAAAAGACCATCACTACCACCATCTAGTAGTTCTATTTATCCTTTTCTAACCACTGACACTCTCATTCCTTAGTAGTTTGTGAAACTGTCAGCCTATTCTAAAGGCTTTTATACAACAGTTATTTTTGGTTATTTGATTGGCAGAGGCACTATTTTCTAAAGCTCTTTTGAAAGAGTATGTACTGTGAAAAGCATTGCATAAATAAACTGACATGACTAATGTCTCCCACCTCTCTAATTCTCCGGTGTTAATATATTAAAAATAATCATATTAAAATATGAAGTATATGCATATATACACTATTGTAACCTTATAACTGTCACTTTTGATCTATTTTATGCATTCTTGTTGAATAAAAGTATTAGTTTCTTAAAAAATAAAATAAATAAGTAATAAGTAAAATAATAATAATAAAAAAATCTTACTCACCCCAAACTTTTTGGTAGTGTATGTGTGGATACAGTATAAAACATATGAATAATGATAGGAAATTTACGAATGCAATATTTGACTTGTAAACTTCCAGAACAAAAACTGATATATTTAGTGAACTGGGAATATTTTTCTTTCAGAGTTGATGCACCTGCACCGGACTGAGTGGCTTGTGTGGAAGTCTAAAGCAAACGATGTGTGGTGTGATGAGAAATACAAAGTTGGAAGTGTGGAGTGACTGAAGATATCAACTTAACGTTTGCACTTTTGGCTGTACTATTACAATCCTTTCGGTAAGTAAATGACCAAGTGAAACCTAGCATGTAAAGAACCTTGACATGTCTTGTAATTGCATTCCTCTTAAGGTCCAAAACACTGCTGTGTTTTTTTCTTTCTCTATAGCTTAGACATTGACTGTTTGATTCTCATTATCCAGTGTTGTGGAAGATATTTTAAAACTAGTCTGTGAAGCTATAATAGGGTGAACATATGTGCCATTTTTCCCGGGCGCGTCCTGGCCAGGATTTTTATATTGCCTAAAATATCTAGGTTTTGGCTTTGTTTGCGTGTGCAGACGATCGGTGAATGATATCAAAATACCATACAGATGGTTCCTTATGCTTTCAAAATGCTCTCGAGGTACTTTAATGTCAAACACTGATCGATCTGAGCCACTCTGCTTTTAAGTCGAACACACATCCTATGTACGCGTAATTGCATCGCTTTGACCATAGATCCCACCTTCTCACACACACCATGATTGGTCCATTATGTACAATGCTTGCATGTTATTGGTCAAACTACTTTTCGATCATTATCTGTGAACGTTTGTTAATCTAATGAATAATTGATTTGTTAAATCAAATGAAAAATGGTGTGTCTGATTGGTCCAGACGCTACATTACCTTCAGCAAGCATGAAAACAGGAAAACAAAGCCAAAACAAATCCTGGCAAGGACGCGTCCGGGAAAAATGGCACGTATGTTCACCCTAAGCTACAAGCTTCTCATACCATAAAGTAGTTACATTACTGTCAATCTGGCATTTCAAGTGTTAGCTACACTAAACCTGCTAAAGAAAAATAACTAACTACACTCAAGCGTTTTAAGGCGATAATATCTTTTTAAATAAACATGTCAGATGATAAAATGAAATTTTGCAATCAGATCAATATTTATCTGGCACAAAACAATGGGGATTTCAGATAGCATTAAATTGAAGGCCAAAATTTCTAAAGTCTGGTGTATTACAGTATGTGTCTGATTAGTATTGGTTTAATGTGTCCATACCTATATTCAATGTTCATTTGTTGATGTACATAAAAGTTGATCAGTGTGACCGGTTATATCTAGATCAGGATTCCTCAAATCTTGCCCTGGAGGGCCAGTTCTCTGCAGAGTTTAGCTCCAACCCTAATCAAACACACCTGAGCAAGCTAATCAATGACTTCAGGATCACTAGGAAATCACAGATAGGTGAGCTTCACCAGGGCAATGACAATGGACAATAGCAGGAAACAAGGCAGATGAAATTTGGTTCATAGAGCTCTACTTTCTATTATAGTAATGACTGCTAAAATGTGCAAGAAAAGTCAATATATTGAATAGGGAGAGACTAGTTAGCAGTCAGTGACCTTTAATTGACTGCATTGACCTCTTGGTTACTCTTAGAGATGGGAGATCCTCCAGCAGTTACTAGGATACATAATCCTAGTATTGCCTTATGGTCAGTGATTCCCAACCAAATGTTTATTTTAAACTTGTTAAAAATACTTTGGGCAGAGGTATCTTTCTGCAGTGGTGCTTGACATAATTTTTTTTTCATTTAATTTTTTTTATTCATTTGAAAAAGAACAAAAAGTAGCATGTTATTTTACTGCATTTACTTTGGTAATTGGTATATAATATAATTTTAAAATGATTCATTGTAATGTAAACTCAGCAAAAGAAGAAATGTCCCTTTTTTAGAATGTTGTATTTTAAAGACAGTAAGCTATGAAAACTGGCTATGAATGACTGAATAATTTATTTGTTTATTTGAATAATATAATGATACCAAAACATTTAAACACACACGCACACACACACATAATTAAATATTATTTTTGTTTATAAAATAATAAATACATGTTTTTATTTAAATAAATAATGATACTAAAACCATTTAAATATATTAATGATAATCCAAAGTGTTAGTATAATATCAAAAAGGAACACATTTCTGTTTTGGTGTTGATAAAGCAGTATTTAAGCTTTGCTGTGGGGTTACCAGGAAATCGCTGCTTTAGTTGTTACACCTTAAGCTGTGTTTAGGCCCTTGGAATAGGAACTTTAAGAATGACAACAAATGGGAGGTGGAAAGCATAGACACATCTCTACAATTCACCACCCAAAGTGGTTAATTTCATAGGTCAAGCCAGAAAAACCTGCTTTAACCTATAATAGTGGGATTACTGTCACGTTATCATTCTTAAATCAGGCATTGCTTCTTCAGAATGTTGCTGCCAAGACAAGGGTCGATGACGTCACATGTTGTAATGGGAGGACTGAAATTTATAGCTCAATGAATTGCCGCTGTGGCATTATTCCGACACACCACACTTCCTTCAGCACCACCCAACTGCAGATCTCCATTGCCTGACACCCCTTTCCCGAGGCCATGGAGATCTTCTGTTCTTTTTCACTGTGTTAAACATTCAGACCTGACCAGACTAATGAGCATATTCATCAGTAGTGCTGTTTTTCATAAAATTTCTGTTTGGGCAAACGGTTGGTTTCATTGCTCTTTCACAGAGCTTTAGTGGCATTAGTTTGAGTCAGACTGAGATGGAAGTATGTGATACTTGAGCAAGCTCATCATTGCATGCCTCACTGTCATCAAGTTATCAAGTCACCATAGCTACAAACACACTGCAACTAAATACATTTGTTACTGTATGAGTCCTCTGTCCACACAGAGTTTGCTGTAGTTCATGAGTGGCAGTCGCATTCTGTAACCCAACTCACTTTTGAAAAACTGACAATGAATTTACTTTGAATCTGCAAACTCTTACAGTATACAGTCAAGTCACCTTTATTTATATAGCACTTTATACAATATAGATTGTGTCAAAGCAGCTTTACATTGCCAAACAGGAAAACGCATCCTGATAATGCAAGAGGACAATAGAAAACAGTCAGTTTATCAGTTAAAGTCAGTTAATTGTTGATTCAATGATGTCATCGTCCAGCTCAGTTCAGTTCTCTTCCAATAGTGTCTGTGCAGTCAAGTCAACAATGTTGCCAGAAATTGTGTCCCCAACTAAACAAGCCAAATGCTACAGTGGCAAGAAACCAAAACTCCAACGGTGACAGAAATGGAGAAAAAAAACCTTGGGAGAAACCAGGCTCAGTCAAAACAAAACCAGCATGGTGTGGATAATTCCAGGCTGCAACGCACATCAGATTGAGCAGAGGACTTGTCTGGTTCACGTGGTCTTGTGCCGTTGGCCGACGAGCTCTTCTCAGGGGATCTGTCTCTAGGCTTTGTCTAGTTGACATGGTCTCCACTGACATTCAGGGCTGTAGAGGTCATCTCTAGGTGCTGATCCACCATCTGGACTGGATAAGGACTGGATCCAGGTGACTGCAGTGACCATCTGATCTGGATACGGGCTGGATCTGGGTGGCTACGGTGACCTCAGAATAAGAATAAAACAGACTAATATTAGTGTAGATGCCATTCTTCTTACGATGTAACAAGTACATCAGGTGTTATGGGAAGTGTTCCAAGTACTAGTCCTAATTAATGCAGCCTAAAAATCCTTTAACGGATTTGACTTATAGAAATGCGACAGTGTGTTATGTGTAAGCCGGGTTAAAGAGATGGGTCTTTAATATAGATTTAAACTGACAGAGTGTGTCTGCCTCCCAAACAACTCTAGGTAGATTGTTCCAGAGTTTGAGCGCTAAATAGGAAAAGGATTTGCCGCCGCAGTTGATTTTGATATTCTAGGTATTATCAAATGGCCAGAGTTTTGAGATCACAGCGGATGTGAAGGACACTAATGCGATAAGAGCTCGCTCAAGTACTGAGGAGCTAAACCATTCAGGGCTTTATGGGTGCTTTCACACTTGGTTCGATTGCTTGGTCCGAACCCGGGTTCTATTGCTCCCCCCTCCCCGCTGCCGGACTGTGTTCACATTAGATTATTTGGGTCAGAACCGCGGTTCGTTTGCGTCATGAAGCCAGCAGTTGTTAACCCGATTGCTTAGTAACGATGGAGCAGGAGAAGGCGGCAAAATGCGTATCATTGCTCTCTTCAATAAAAGAAGATTATTTACAATCAGTGATAAGTAGCATATCACTGATTTTATGTGTGATATGCTACGTTGTCACAGCATTCGAGTCTGCACGCCTGCAGAAGTGGGCAGACCCAGACTAACAGGCTGGCACTGAGAGAATAATCTGCATTATAAAAAAGTTTAAAGATTATTTACAATTACAATAATTTACAATTATTGTTCAAAAGTTATCTAGTCTTTGCTTGCTTACAGTGCTTTGTTATATGGAGCAGTTTGGTAGATTGCGATCTATCCAATTCGTTTGTCTAAAAAATTGCAGACAGATGTATGAAATAACACAAGCTACACCGTAATTCAAATGTGGCAGACTTTAATGGACAGTAAAACAAAGGTAGAATACCGTATAACTCCAGGCCGGCACAGTAACCTCATACTGACGCACGGCTAAACAAAGGCAGAGCACCGTAACTCAATTTGAGCATTCCAAAATAAAGTCAAAGAGCGGTAACTGGTATTATATGGTTTTCTACCTTGGTTTCTCCTGGGCTTTTCAAAGTTACTGTTAAGATAACCCATTATTTTCTTGACAAAACAACAAAATTGACTTTTTTCAGACAGAAGCAGATATTTATCCACATGATAAAGGAGGTCTTGAATGTCTCAAAAATATCAATAACTCATTTTTGACCAAATACGAAGTTACGTTCTTTTACCTTTGCACGGCAGCATAGAGCTGAGTATCATCAGCATAACAGTGAAAGCTAACACCCTATTTCTTTATGATATCTCCTAGGGCTGGGCGATTTGGCAAAACATTTAAATCTCAAGTTTTTTCAGAATGTTTGACCGATTCTCTTTTTTTACGATTTTTAACTAGTCAACTTAATGTAACTACAACATGATTCAAATTACCTTTTTCTTTATTAACCCTCTATTTAAAGAAAATTCTATTCCAAGTGCAAGACACATGAAGTTGTCACCATGATGTAAATGTTAAACAAATCACTTAAGTATCTTTGCAGAAAAGATGCATGAACTACAACTACATCTTGTACAAACTTGTCTTAAACATATATGTTCAGATATAATACGAGGAAAATGCTTTAAAAAAATCTCCAAAAGTCAAGGTAATTCAAATTCAAAATGACTGAAGATATAACACCAGTAGACTATTATTATCTATAAATGTTCTATAAAAACAACAGCAGCTTTCAGCCTGTCACCATGATGCAATTGCAGTGTCTCATGCATGAAACGGCATTCTGAAAATGTGGCGCTCAAGTTAAAAGAAGTTCACTCCCATATTCTTGCATGTTTTTCCTATTCCACTGCCCGCGTCGCATCTTTGTCAATGCAAGCGTATTCTGTGTGAATGGCTCCTAGCGATATAAGCGCATCACACGTGAGCGGTTAATCACGTGCGTCGACATGTGGTCGGATCGTTCTTTTCTCTTTACTGTTATCACTGGCATATTCTCAAAGTGTCTAATTCTAACGTTTGTTAATATTTCTATTCAAAATCGCAATTCCTCGATTTCTAAAAAATAAAATCGTGCCAAAACATTAAATTCGAATTAATCGATAAAATCTGAAAAATCGCCCAGCCCTAATATCTCCCAAGGGTAGCATTTAAAGTGTGAAAAGCGACTGTCCTAATACTGAGCCTTGTGGCACTCCATACTGTACTTGTGATCGATACGATATCTCGTCATTCACTGTTACGAATTGATGACGGTCAGATAAGTAAGATTTGAACCATGACAATGCAATTCCACTAATGCCAACATAATATTGTAGTCTACTCAAAAGAATGTTGTGGTCAAAAGTGTCAAACGCAGTGCTAAGATCCAGTAGCACTAATAGAGAAATACAACCATGATCGGATGATAAGAGAGTAGTTCATTTGTAACTATAGTGCACTGTCTGATGCAATACTGTAGCTGACGGCTGCATGGTTAGAATTTTATCTCTAATAGTATCGATCTTCGAAGTAAAGTTGTTCATAAAGTCATTACTGCTGTACTGTTGGGAAATGTGTGCGCCTGCTGATGCTTAATTTTTTGTTAATTTAGCCATTATTAGTGGTAACTAATTAATTGTATAAGTTAAGTGGCTTAACATGAAAATAATTTGCATAAATGAAGCTCCCCCATTTTAAATGCAGTTGTCACTTTTGAATCTTTGCAGTGTGATCATGGCTCATGAGATGTGGTCTAATTCCAGTTTGTCATCAGATCACAAGTGTTTGACTGTGACTGTTTCCTTACAGCAAGTGAATCAAAAAAGCTTTCAAGGCATGTAATACCCTGTCATGTGGATCTCATTATTTGGCTACTGTAGATGTTGCTTCTGTCTGAAATCCTTGGAGAGCTTTGTAAGCTTTGTAACTTTCCAAAGCGATGACATCTGGTACTTTTGATAAATAATGACTCAAATCAGAATAAGATTATTTTTGCAGGTTAATTGAATCATTACAAAATCAGCACTTTTAGTTATAATGGTATGTCGTCTGCCTCACGCAGTGGAACTCTTAGTGTGAAAGTCTTACTTGCTGTGCGTGTTCTTTTTTATTGTTGTAGCATGTGTGGGCAAATGGTGTAATTCTTGGCTGAGGTTAGATTTTGTGCTTTTAAAGCTGGAACATTTACAGAGATTAATCTAATTGGACTGGATATGATGAGCAGAATTAAAATAAAGGTCAGAGTGGTGCATTGACAAAACAGTGGGATTTACAGTCAAGTGGCTTCTCTTCTTTGTCAAAACTGAAGCTTTGTCATCAAAATGACATAAATAAAAGCTTACTCGAGGCAAGGGTCATGTTTACACAATTTGCATCATTCAAGCTGTTACATAAATTGTTTGCCATGATCTGATGTAAGGTATAGACAATAACAAATGTAATCAGTTAAGCAATTTAATCACCCAAATCTGTTAACAACTGTATGAACATTACAACCTAAATCTCATGAATTTCATAATTTTTCTCATCTTGTTTTGACTGTAGGGTTATTTTTGAAACCAAATTAAGATACTGTCATGTCCAAAAAGTATGAGATGACTAGTAAGAATTCTTATTTTAAATTAAAAATGCATTTTAAAAATACTACACATTATTTTATTCTTTTATGTAATATTTTTCTGTACTATGATTTAGTATCAATTTATCCAGCATGATTTTAGAATGATCCAAAGACCATCTTGTGCTTGAATTGGATAAAGTTTAAAAGAAAAATTACAACAATAAATTACAAATATTTTGCACCATTTATAGGTCATCTAATTCAAGGTTCACGGTTCAGTTCACCTAGTATGAGTACACCCTTAATTGATCATACCCTGGGATTTTTTGGACATTTCTGGTAAAGACAAAACAAACCTAACACACATTAGCAAGTCCTACTAATGGAACTGTTCAGACAGTGTGAAAGTATTTGCCATGGTGTTGTATGGGGTCTTTTGTTCCCTTTCATGGGAACTTCGAACTGCGCCCTCTAGGGGTCGCTATGGGGAACGCCTCGTCGTGACCCGTGTCTGAAGCATACATTGAAAAAACTCGTTGGCCGGCGACAGCCATGACGTCACTACCGGTGCGACTATAGTATAAATAGGCGCCGGGAGCACACATCATTCTCTTCTTCGTCTTCATTGACTGTTCTGTTTGAAGCGTGCATTTCCAA